CCTCACAAGGCCGGTAAGTGGAGGACTTCTTGATGGGTATATCCCTATACCCGACCCGGACAACCGAAAGGGACAGGTCAAAAATATGACCGGTCACTTTTATCAATCACCAAATGAAGTTAACTCTTCGATTGGGACGGGTCAAAAGTTGACCGGTTACTTCCACTAAAAAAGTGACCGGTCACATTTTGGGCGTTAGCCAAAATGTCGCCTAATGTTACAAAGAACAGTCTAGAAGACCAGAGACGGGTTGAGCATAAAGAATGACCGGGTAACCTTTGAGAGAAGGTGACCGGTCATATCATCTCACTTGACAAACATTGGTCCAGTATCTCAGGCATGGTGAACCACGTCAGAGGTCAAGGGGACACCCCGCCGCTCATCCATCACGAGGCACACAGTGAAAGGGATGTTTGTCATTTTGCAGGGTTGATTGGATTGAGAATATCCATTTTAGTCTTTGATTGAACAGTACATGTCTTGGCTTATAGTTGCTAAATTCTATGATTGTACAATGTTCCCATTACCTTCCCACGAGCTTCTTATTTTGTCCATGGATGAACAGGGGAAGGTCACAAATCCTCCTCTATAAATATGATGATATTGGATAGAGGAGGGGATCCAATTTTTCTCTCACTAAAGTTCACTCTTGAGATAGAGTAAGAAATATAATTCGGACTGAGGAGATTTACCCGGTCTAGGTCATACTTTGTGTTCTTGTTGTGTGTTTTATATTACGGGTCGAGTGTGTCCAGGTCAAACCCGGTTAACCCACCTCGCTATATTTACACCATCAGATATAATGAGTTCAAACCAAATTTGAGAGAGTCACAACTATAATCTATTACTCCGTATTTTATTTTCAATTCTTTTAATTACTCCATTATTAGTTTAGAATAATGTTTGGTTCACAAATAAAATAGTCACAAACTTCACAAACTTACTAATTGTGAACTCCAATAAATAAAGTTAAATAGTCTAAAATAATTTTAAAATAAAAATTTAAACCATAAATAATAAGTTTGTGAAGTTTGTGAGTATCCTATTTGTGAATTTAGCATTGCTCCTTAGTTTATTACTCAAGCTAAAATTGCAGAAATTAATGGGGAGCAAATTCACCTTCCAAACCCGATTCTCCAAGAAAAAAAATATTTACTGCACCAGATTAAAACGGTAACATTATGATTTATGGATTGAGAGGAATGAGGAGCCTCTAACTGCTAAATAGTAAAAAATAAAAAAAACAGTAAAACAAAGAAAAACAAAAATATTCAAAACCCATTTAAACGGGGAGTGAAAATTCGACCGTTGAAGAAGAGACCCCAGATATATAGAAAGCAAGAAAACCCCCAAATTCCCTCTGTGAAAATACAAAGGAAGAAAAATGTGAGATCTTTGATGTTTATGTTGAAGAAGAAGATTGATTGAGTACATAATAGAAAGAAGCGTGGCGACTGAGAATTACCCGAACGGAGACGCTCACCATAGCCGTCTCCGGTCCTTTCTGTCTTGGATCTTCGGTCGCAGTAATCCCGAAGAAGAAGAAGAAGACGACGAAGAAGAACTGAAGATGGAGGAATCTAAACCTCTTCTTCGTGATCAACCGATAAGAGGTAGATTTCAATCTTTGTTCTTTTTTTTCCTTTTGAATTTTCGGGATTCACTTGATGAAGAAGAAGAACACCCTGTTTCTTTTCTCATTTTCGTTGTACGATTCAAATTCTTTTTTTTTTGTTTTTCTTCTTCTTCTGAATTTTCGGAATTTACTTGATGAAGAACACCATGTTTGTTTTCTTTTTTTTTCTTGTACAATTTCAATCACATTTTTTTTTGGAATTCTTCACATATCCTTTTCTGGTTGAAATTTCTGGAGAATAATCATGATCAATTAGATTCTCTGATTTTCTTATTTATATCAGAATTATGAAATTATTTGCTCTGTTACAATATTTTCTTTCAAAAAAAAAAGCTTCTTATGTTCAGTGTTTCTGGGTAAAATTTCTGGGTATAATTTCGTAGTGCGCTTTTCCGGTCGTATAAATTCTGGGCTAAGTTTATTTCTTCAACAAAAAAAGAAGCCCGAAATTTGCAGAAATCATGGCGTTTTCTGAGATTTAATTGGAAAAAGTTTGAATCTTGACAGAAGAAATGAAGCAGAAGAATGCAGGAGGAGAGGGAAGAACCAGGCGCATTCTTCGGGATATCGGGAATCTGGGCAACAACGCCCAACAGAACCAGATCCCTCGTCCGGCCAAGAAGCCATTAATTCCGGCGGCGGCGGCGGCGGCGGCAAAGAAACCTCCCCCGTCCCCGCTACCACCGCAGGAAGGATCAGTCATCGTTATAAGCAGCGACGAGAAGAAGAAGACGACCACGAAGAACAACGCCGGAAGAATGGGGTACACCTCCGTTCTCGCGGCGAGAAGCAGGGCGGCGGCGGGCGGCGGCGGCGGGCGGCGGCGCCGCCAAGAAAAGGCCGAACAAGAAGAAGAATGAGAGGAAAAATCAAGTATTTGAGATTGATGAAGGCGACGTTGACAATGAATTGGCTGCCGTTGAATATGTTGAAGACATCTACAAATTCTACAAACTAAATGAGGTTTTTCTCTCTAATCTCTTCTTCATTTATCTTTTGGACTCCATTTTTCCAAATAACTTTTGCTGAAATTACCATACTATCCTCAAATACTCTCATTTTCTTTTTCAAAATATTTTTAATTTCATTATGTACACTTCATTATGTACTTTATAATGGTAGAACTTATTTTAGAAATATTTTAAACATAGGGTACAAATATTTCATGAACGAGGGGAGTATTATTTTATCTTTTGTGTATGAATTACTATAGGTATGTGATTGAATTAAATATATACTCCAGTATGTTATTTTTTAGTGATACTCCGGGTATTTTACTCATAGTTTTTATATAAAAAGAAATTTACCAAAACAAGATTAAAACAATATAATGATTTTCTCAATATACGACTATATGTCATTACCCATTAGTCATTATTTAAATAAATATCCACCATCATTAGATATTATTCCTCCCACTAGCATTATTAAGTCTTATTTAGGAAATAAAAATAATTTAATTCCAACATTAAAAAATGACTTATGTTTTAATCTTATTTAGTGTAAATTTTTTCTTTATATAAATTGACTTGAATACATTATCTGTCAAATATTGTAATTGAAACCGACAATAGATAAGTTTTTTTGAGATGAAGATGAATTAATTCTTTCTATCTTCTCTTTCCATTCGTTCCGATTTAATCTTCTAGCTCTATATTTTGTTAATCGTTAATTAAAATAATATAATTATGTCATATTTTATTTTTATTTTGAAAAAATAGTTAACAAATTATTTAAAAAATCAAATTAAGTTGTCATTGTACCCAAAAAAATAATGAAGTTGTCATTAATAATAGTTTGAGGGAATGATTAATAAAAGTTTTTTTTATTACTTTTTAATTATTTTTTTTTATGAAGGATGAATGGAGAGTGAAGGATTATATGAGAAGCCAACCAGAGATCAATTCAAAGATGAGATCAATTCTTGTGGATTGGCTGATTGATGTTCACAAGAAGTTCCAATTGACGCCGGAGACTCTGTATTTGACGGTGAATCTCATCGATCGGTTCCTCGCCGTCAGAACTGTTCCCCGGAGGGAGCTCCAGCTCGTCGGAATCGGATCCATGTTGATCGCCTGCAAATACGAAGAGATCTGGGCGCCGGAGGTGGCCGATTTCATCCAGATCTCGGATAAGGCGTACGGCCGGGACCAGATCCTCGCCATGGAGAAGACGATCTTAGGGTTTCTCGAGTGGTACTTGACCGTCCCGACGCCGTACGTCTTCCTCGCGAGGTATATCAAGGCGGCGGTTGCGGTGGCGGAGGAGGAGGAGGGGAAGGAGGAGCTCGAGAACATGAGCTTTTTCCTGTCGGAGCTAGGGTTGATGGATTACGCGACGGTGGTTGATTTCAGGCCGTCGATGCTGGCGGCGGCGGCAGTTTATGCCGCGGGGTGGACGATGAAAGTCGTCGCGGTTCGCCGGTGGACTGCGACGCTCCGGCACCACACCGGCTATTCGGAGGAGGTTGCAGCTTGTGCCAGGAAGCTGGTAGGGCTCCATTCTGGAGTTGCGAAGAATAAGTTGAAGGCGGCGTACAGGAAGTTCTCCGTTCCTGATAGGGGCGCCGTCGCTCTCTTCCCGCCGGCGACTGCTCTGCTATTGACCACCGCTGGAGCTCGGTCCTCTTGAATGTCTAATTCAAATTTCTTCGTCTTTATGGTTCATGTCTTTATGGCCAAAATACAATTACAAGTATATCCCTTGTTTTTTTTAGTTTACATATAAGGGGTTGTTAAAAATTCAAATCAAGCCATTTTTTTTTAGTATATCCCTTGATTGGGATGGATTGATGGAATATGTTAAAAATTCAAATCAAGCCATTTGAAGAAATATTTTATCCCTCTCGAAATTGAAGCTCAAAATTTGTATCAAATTGGACAAATACATTGAAACAGAGGAAGTATAAACAAACGAAAGTTATCTAACATGCAATATAACTTGAGAGTAATTGAGTTCAAAGTCTGTCAAGTTTGACTCAAAAAAGTCAAACTGGACAAATATACTGGGACGGATGTAGTACATTTTTATTGATAACTCGATAAAATAGAACATTTTAGTCACTCCTATAGGGTATTTTATGTACTTTTAAATGGTGTTTTTATACTCCTCCCATCCACAAATAAATTTTTCGTAGTTCGTTACAATGTTTGACTAAAGTTATTTTCAAATCATTTTGTATGAAAAATAGTATAAAATTTAAAAATAAAAATTACATATTAAAAAATTATATCAAAAGATCTACAAAACTAGAGGTGACATGACTATAGTATTATTTAATCAAATGAGCGATGAAAATAGACCAACAAAATGGATAAAATTTGACTATGTAAATAGTGAATGAGAAGTTTATTGTAGACAGAAGAAGTACTTTTTATTTCTATACTAATTTATAATTAGTATAAAATAATTTTAAAAATGATGTGATTTAAAACCTTGTTTAGGGGCATCAATATGAAACCGAGAGAGTATACCATATACTATGTCATGATTGTAAGTGCTAACATGTTAATGAATCAAATCAAACCATTGTAAAAAGACTTAGGGGCTGTTTGTTTCAGCCTCTTAATGTTCAGATGTCTGAATGGTTCAACACTTAATGGTTCAGACTGTTTGTTTTGTGAGCAGATGTCTGAATGGTTCAGACATTTGCCTCTGAATGGTTAAGTATTATACAGAGTCTGAATGGTTAAGACATCTTATTTGAATTGATCTGACATTTGCCTCTGAATAGTTAAGCAATATACTAGCTCTTAATGGTTCAGACCTCTTACTGGTTCAACACTTAATGCTTCAAACTTCTTACTGGTTCAATAATCACCTATTCAAAAGTTGCCAAACAACCCTTTAGAATATCAAATATGATGTAACAAATAAACAAGTGCAACACTATTACAAAAGAATGAGCCTCATTTCCAAGGATCTCCTCAGACTCGGCCAGATAGTCGCAAATGCAAAACTACTAAAATCGTGAGATGGTGATGGTCAAACATGTCAATTACTACCTCCATCCCACTCTCTTTGTCCACTTTTGACTTTTGGAACTGTTCATCTAATCACTTTGACTCATCAAATTCTCTCAATGTGTAAGCCTAAATATAGTCATGTGTTATCTTGTTTGATTTGTCTTAACATATAGATTATTACTCCGTAATATATAATTTCTATAATTTTTTAATTTACAAATTACAAGATAAAATGGGTTAAAGAAGTGCATTGGATGGTATGACAAAAGATAAATGGACAAAGAGAGTGGGACGGAGGAAGTAACCTAAAGAAATAAAAACTTAAATGATTACATATCTTTTCAAAATAATGCATAAAAAATACATCAATTGTCGATGGAGATAAATTTTAAAACTATAATTGGACCGTGTCTACTCTTAGTGCATGTTAGGAAATGCGAAAAATGACTTCCGCATTTTCAGTGTTTGGAAGCAAAGTCTTCGAAAAATGAAAGTTGATCATTGGGGAAAGGCAGACCAAAAATCTAAAAGATAAATTTCTATTACCTCCATCTTTCCCTTTCATTTTTTTTTTATCCATAAAAGATGTTCTTATATCTATTAAAAATTACTTTTACCCCTTATTTTTTTTATACCCTACCTGATAGTGTAAATTATCGATCAGTGTATCGTTTTTAGCCGGGCAAAAATGATAAATTAGTCTAGAAAATACACCAAAATATAGAAACATGGATTTTGACGTGGAAACCCAAATCAGGAGAAAATCACTGATCTTTTTTTGCGGTACCTTGCCAATGGGAAATTTCTATTAATATCGTGGGTGTGTACATGATACATGATTTAGGCTTGGAAGCCATTAATGGAAGCTTAAAAGCTTATTGAAGAACAAAAACTATAAAATTCTAGAGAGAGAAAGAGTAATGGGCAGGGGAGAGAGTGAACTTGGCCTCGTGGAATACCTCTTCTTTTATAGGAGGGAGTAGGAGCATCTTCGAAAGAATATTCTATTATTCATTCATTTTACGAAACAGATTTGATTATTCTTCGTAAATAATTGGAAAATGTGGGCCGAACCACGTATTATTTCCCATCACTACCTATCATATCATACCCTTTTTATTAATAATATATCTATCACATCTTACTTTTATCCACCACATCAAGGGTATTTTTGGAAAGTCAACACCAAAATATCTCTCCCTTAATTTTCCAACAAGTCAATAAGGGAACATCTTTCGGAGGAAGTAGTTCTTTTATTACTATCTATCATATCATACCTTTTTTATTAATAATATATCTATCACATCTTATTTTTATCCATCACATCAAAGGTATTTTTAGAAAGTCAACACCAAAATATCTCTCTCTTAATTTTCCAACAAGTCAATAAGGGAACATCTTTTGGGGACGGGACGGAGGAAGTAGTTCTTTTGGAAGTCACAATCTTATGCGCGATGCTCGGCAGCTTTGCGCTTGCCTGAGCTATATTCTAATCGCCGGTGGAGAAAATTGCCGTGGAACATGCGGTCTACCATAAGCACAATCGCCGACAGAGAGATCGAATCCATAGTTGTCATCGTTGTGTTACGAATGATGGAGTAAGATATGTTGTTATTATTTATCAATAGTATTTATTACGGAGCATTATTCTTTCAATGGTTGTGTTTGGAAAATGATCGGATAGCTTTTGGTATTTTTTGACTAATCAAACAACCAAAATCATTGTTTGGCTGATAACTTTTTCACTTGAAATTTTTATCTCAAAAGCCAAAGGGAGTAGCATTTGGACTTGGATGTTAGGAAAAATAATTTTTTAATCATTTTTTATTAAAAAATATATATTTTATAATACATGTTAAAAAATAAAAGTTACAAAATTCAAAACAAAAAAAAATAAAATTTCAAGAAAAAGGGAGATGAGAAAATCAAAAGTAAAATTATTAAAAAGTTGTATATTAATAATTTCTTATGAATTAAATGAAAGTGAAATTTAATACTCCATATAGTAAAGATTTAATTTTTACATATAAAAAAAATGAAAAACAAATATCGGGTGTGTGTGTGTGTCTGAGAATCTCAAGAAGATGCATTCGTCACTCCACGTTCTGATTGGAATTCGACTCTGAGTACAAATGAACAAGATTTTAGACCATTGAATGCTCGGGGTGACCAAGTTGGAGCATCAGATTCATTCTTATTTCTTTCATAAGATCACATTCTCACCGAAACCAATATATACACACACACACACATATCGGAACAACTATTTTCAAACAGCTAATTTTATCAAACATTTTTAACAATCAGCCAACTCATTCTGCCTATCAAACCAGCTAAACTAAACAACATTCATAACAGCTAACACGAATTACTAGCAGTCAACATCCAATGTCCAAACAAGACCAATATCTTATTGATTTAATTTTAAAAATGAACCATTTTCACAATTTGACTTTCAATATGTGTTTGATTTAAAAAATGTTTATTTTGAAAGAATTCAAAACATTAAAAATAAAATCTCAATTAGAATTAAACTAATTTTATAACCTCGGTTTATATAACTCATAAACTCGATAAATAAAAAAGGTTAATTTTAAGATTCGAACCAATTGCGTATAAAGATAAAACAAAAAGTTATAATTTTTATTTTTTTTACTTAAAATTAGATGTATAATTTTTTTATTAATTAAAATATACCTATAACTTAAATTTTTAAAAATATGAAATTTAGCTCTAAAGGATTTAGAAGGAGAAAAAATATTGGGATAAAAGTGTAATTGTATTTGACTTAATTGAATGAGTAAGAACTAAGAAACCAATGTTGTCAAAATCATACTCCGTAATAAAATAAAGATGAGAAACTACAATTTTTGTTCTTGTTGGTGAAATGTAAACTGGGTTGAAGTATATTTTTGTTACAAAATTTATAAATAGAATGTCTTTTTATTACAAATTAAAATTGTGGTACTTTTTTTATTACAACTTTAAAATTTAGAATATCCAAAATAAACAAAATTATTTTGAAAAAATAACTCATTTTTTCAAAAAAAAAATCATTTTCTTTCTTTTCAAACCAACCATTAGTTCATCCAATAACCCACATGGGCTAACATGTATACCCCCACCCCCACCCACGCATCTCTTTCGTTTCTCTCACTTCAGAAATGCATCCAAATTTGTGACTTTCTTATTATCATCGTCTTCCCCAATCGCCCCCCAAAGTCCGTAATTCCCATAGCAGAATATAAAAACCACCGCTCTCTCTGTTCAGAGGTACAATTCGTATTCGATCTGCAATCGTTTTCAAGTTTTTCATGATCTCATTGTTCTAGGGTTTGACTTTTCGGACTTTCGATATCTGTTATCCTGTCAAGTTTTGGTTTTGACTTGAATATTTTCGTGCAGGTTGAGTATAATCTTTTCTCATCGATTTTCTTGAGCTATTTTATTCGTAGCTGTTCTTGTTGAAGATTTGTTTCTTTTTTCATTTTTTTAAAAAGAAGTTTAGAGACCATTTTATGGAATTTGAATGCCAAGACTCTATTGAGACTGGTTTGTTGAAGAATATCATCGATCGTTCGGACATATCCGTTGCAAGCAGAGCTGAATATAATTTATCAGGATCTTCAAATTACGCACTTGATTCTGATTCTGGAAAACCTGCATTGAAATTGAATGCGGAGCATTGTGTTTCAGTTCCAAATGGGACCGAAACCCTACCTAGCCGGAGGTCGATAAACGATCTTCCTCAGGCGTTGGTATCTGAGATCCTCGGTTGCTTGGAACCGAAGGAGCTTGGCATTGTGTCTTGTGTGAATGCATCGTTGTATCAGATTGCATCGGAGCATCAAGGGTGGAAGGAGTTTTACCGTGAGAGGTGGGGGGATCCAACCCTCCTAATAGCATTGGGGCCTGAGGGTTCAGACTTGAGGACGAAATGGAAGGATCTCTTTGTGCAGAGGGAGTTTCAGAGCAAGACCTTCTTGGGGAGATACACGGTTGATACCTTATACGGTCATACTGAAGAAGTTAGAGCAGTTTTTGTTCTTACCTCAAAGAAGCTTGTTTTTACTTCGGGGTATGATCAGATAGTGAGAATGTGGGACTTGGAAGAAGGATTATCCCTTTCATATTCCCGTCCTCTTGGTTGCACTGTCCGTGCCGTTACAGCTGATTCAAAACTATTGCTAGCTGGTGGGACCGATGGGTTCATACATGGCTGGAGGGCAGAGGAGGGAAATCCTCATTTGTTTGACCTTAAAGGCCCACAGAACCAAAACAGAGAATTTAGGCTTTGGGAACACCGAGGTCCCATAACATGCCTTGCAGTGGTCTTCAACAAGATTTATAGTGGTTCTTGGGACATGGCAGTGCGTGTGTGGGACTGTTCTTCGTTGAAATGTTTGATCGTTTTGATGCACAATGATTGGGTTTGGAGTCTTGCCCCTCATGATGATACCACAGTGGCAACCACATCAGGTCCTGATGTATATCTATGGGACACCAAAACCGGTACGAAACTTTCTGTTGCTAACAATGCTCATGTCGGCAATGCCCACTCGTTGGCAAGAAGCCACACTGGAAAGCTTATATTCACCGGGGGAGAAGATGGGACCATACACATGTTTGAGGTTGTGAAAAATATAAGGTTCCATTTGAGGAAGGTTGCTACATGGAATCCTCACTCGGGTCACGTTTTTTCCCTCGCGTTTGAGTTCCCGTGGCTTGTTTCTGCTTCAAGTGATGGGAAACTTGCACTCATCGACGTGAGAAAGTTGTTGAGGACGAGGAAGCATTCAGATGGCGGGAGCTCTTCTAATGGTGAGAATCTGAACCATAAGGGTATGTTTGAGTCCCCCTAAAATACCAGGGAAGTAAAAATAACTGTCAATATACTGTTATGTGGTAAGGCATTGCCACTATACTTTTTTGCACGAAATATATACTGCTAAGTTTCGTGCAATTATGTAGCACTAAAGTTAATCCCACCTCAGATAGCTGGGATTAAGGTGGCTATGGTGATTGGTGATGGTGATGATTTCAATAATATATCAAATTAGATTTATTGAATTAGATCGTGTTATTTTCTAAATTTTCGTTCTATTTTCCTTCCTTAGTGTTTTCCAGGCTCCAAACAGACCCTAAGAGTGTTGAGCCACCACAGAGGATGCTCCATGGGTTCGGGCCGAATTTGTTTGCAGTGGATATAGGGTTGGACCGGATTGTGTGTGCGGGAGAAGAAGGCGCGGTCAGAATATGGAACTTCTCACAAGCTTTGGAGATAGAAGAGAGGGTGCGGACTTTGAGGGGATTAAGGTTAGAGAACAGGATGATGAGGCGCAAGCTACAGTGCAACATGAACAACAGAGGTGGTGGTCGGAGGGGCGATCAGTGCTCTGTTGCTGCGAAGAAGAATCAAATCAACGGGGATAGGAATAGCTGGCAGAACAAGCGTAGGGCGAGTTGGAAGGTCAAGGCATAGGGAAGGTCATGTTTTTTATGGTACTCGTTGTCTCGCTTGCTTATTTGCTATTTCCTGCTGCTTTCTCGTTCCGGATGTACGTGTGAATGGCGATTTCGTTATGTAGTTTGTTCTTGTGTTGCATTGTCACCAGTGTTTATAACAGACTATCACAAATTTACAAGTATGGATATGACTATTTTGGTGGCAGATGAACAATATATTTTCATGAAATTGACAATCTGGACCTAAAATTTACTATATTGGTGAAAGTAGACAGAAAATGTACAAAATTAAGAGACAGGTGATTGGACTGGCCAAAAATGAAGAAAAAAAATGTATATTAAATATTTTGTGTTGTGTATTATTTTGATGGAATTAAAATTAGAATTGGCAATGCCTAAAATTGTCCAAGAAATTTCATAGAATGATACAAATATACAAAGTATATCTCGAGAATGACATTACAAACATAGATTTCATTCCAACACTGAAAGTATATTTGGGGAATGGCATACAAACATACACTTCATGACATGTTTGACATAATCACTGAGTTCAAAAGATGTTAAAATTCAGCCATCACAGTTTGGTCAAAATATCGGCCAGTGGGTCCCCCGCAAGGAAGGAGAGCCAGCATCGTGGGACCGCGGGCCCCCTCCTCCGGGGTCAGCGTCCCGGTGTGCCAGTTAAGGTCTGTGTTAACGTACCCGGGATGCACACAGTTGATGCACATATTCGGGTGCTTCTTCGCGAGGAGTCTGGTGTAGGCATTCAGAGTCACCTTTGAAATGCTATATGCAGGCAGCATCAGTTGCCACCCATTGGCTTCAAGCTTGCCTTCTTTGAGATCACACAAGAAACTCTGCAGAATCTCGTCGATTTTCTCTTCTGTCAGGTTCTCAATGTCCCCGAGCACCTTTCTCCTCTCTTCGTTGGGAACACGCTGTATTATCAAATGAGTAACGAAAATAGGCCAAAAAAAGTAGATAATGTCTGATCATATATAAACAGTCCCTGTGTCCCAAATTAAATCGTCTGCGTCGGTTTACGATATTTGACTGAAATTATTTTTGTTTCAATTTATTTGAGAATTGGGATGAAATTAAAAAATAAAAAAATACATATTTAAAAACAACATCAAAAGTTTTACAAAACAGAGGTGACATGAAGTGTTACTCTACTTACCCTTAATTCGCTCCTTAGAGAAGAGACATTTACTATCCTTGCCCCTCCAGTAGAGAGCTGCAGCAAGGGAAGGAGTGCTTCAGTTACCTTCTTCACACCATAGTAATTTGTATCAAGGCACTCTTTTGCCTTCTCATATGTCGTCTTAACTGTGCCTTGAATCAGATTTATAACCTTCCCTGCAAGCTTTGATATGAAAAACAAGTTCATGAGACCGGGGGTTTTGAGTTGAACTAGATAATCATTTAGTTTCAACCTTTTAGTGTGATTTGATCCAAATGCGTTGTGGCCTAGTTGTGTGTCTCATGTCAATTTGCAAGAACTAGATACGGATTATCATTTTTTTTGCCTATTTTCGTTACTCATTTGATAAAGTAATATGGCGATGTCACCTTTTGTCTTTTCATGTAGTTTTACAGTTTATAACTTTTATTTTCTAATCATACACCAATTTTCAAATATATTGGCTCAAAAATAAATTCAACCAAATCTCATAAACCGACCAAGAATATCATTTTGGGATGGAAGGAATATATATTAGTGAAATAGCTATCTCACACTCTTACCCAATCAGAAGGGGCTATGTTCATAGCCCTTAAGGCTTCTTCGTCAACGACAACTCCGGGAGCTCCAGCGTTGTTTACCTGCAGAGATTTCACAATGGCAACCCAATGTTTACCTGCTGATGTACCTCAAATTTCAGGACTAATGGTAAATTAACATGACACTTAATGGAGTCTCTATTGATGGCAAATAACATGTTAAAAATAGTTTGTGTTTCATTAATGAGAACAATGCTAACACGCGTTTAAAGGATAGTTTTGATTAGTTTCTATAATTTCTTGAGTTAAAAATGGTGAAGTGGACAACTAATTCAACACGGTCCGAAAAAAAGGAGAAAGTTGACAGCTAAATCCGGACAAGTTAAGAGAGTAAAAAAGCAATCAAACTCAAGATGGTAAACAAGAGTTTGTTCATACCAAAATGTCAAGCCTTCCATATTGTGTTTTTAGGAAGTTTGCCAAGCCTCCTATGCTTCGCAAGTCCATAACATCAAGCTGGTGGAAGACAACATTTGACAAGCCTTCATTGTGCAGCAATCCCACGGCCTCGTTCCCCCTCTGCGCGTTCCTGGCTGTTAACACAACAGTAACGCCCGAGGCTGCCAGCTGTCGGGCAATGTCCAATCCGATTCCCCTGTTTGCTCCGGTTACTACTGCATACCTGCAAAACCTCTACACGCCTTACAAATGGAGTGAATTGGGATGAACCATAGCCAATCATTCGACTCCGGTTGAATGAGGTTAGGTATATAAAATAAGACCCTGTTTACATTTGGTTTTGAATTTTGGAGTTAGATGTTGAAAGAAACGGGAAGGTTTTGGAAAATGTTGGAAGAATTAAAGTGTTAAAAAGTCACTCAGTTAAATGATCACCTCAATAAAAAAGTAAGAAAACTCTAATTTTGGATAAAAAAGAATTCATCATTACCCGTATTTGAGGTGGTATGTTATACATTTTGGATATATAATATTATTGTATATTCATCATATATAAATACATTTTTTAAGTCGTTGGGAGAAACTTGAAGAAGTTGGAAGGAACTAGAAGGAGTTGGAAAAAAGTATAAAAGTTGGAAAAAGTTGAAAGTTAATTTTTCTTACCCAAAAGAAGAGTGCCTAAGTCTCCAAGGGCATGTTGGGTGTACCATGTAACGAAGTATGCCTCTTGTTTGGTTACAAAAATTTACCCCAAAAAATTACTCTTTAGGCTCATTAGCTGAACTTGTTGGAGTCATTCATTTATAATTATGGAATAAACCTCAAAACTAAACATGCAAAGAGAAACATTGGTACTAAATTTCACGATCTTTTTCTAAATTATGGGCCAAAAAACGTGATGTAGTACCCTTATCGAATGGGTGTAGCTCACTATATACACGTTCTTCAAACCTGAATATTTAAGCAATGTTTCTACATGTAAGAAAGAACACTATTGCAAAATTTTGTGAGTTTTTGATGGGTTCGAAAAGTTGACGGTGTCCCTAGGGGATCAAAATCAAAATTTTTAGTTTCTAGAAATCATGAAAAGGAACATTTTGCCAAATTTCAAAAGGGTCCGTTTGGTACACGGAATTGACAGAATTGGAATTGGAATTGGGAGTTGAAATTCTATGAAATTGTTTTGGATGGAATTGAATTCTCCAATTCCAATACATTTTTGGCACTATTGATTCGAAATCTACATATTTTTATGCTACCAAACGAGAATTGTTGTCTCAAATTCCAATCCCATAGTTTGAATTGCTTGTACCAAGCGGAACCTAATATTTCTTCAAATGTTAGCCCAGCAATCGAGATGAAAAACTACATTGGCAAAGATAAGAAGACGAGCACTTGATTTCAATCTATAAACCCTAAAACCATGTCTTGTCAACTTCATTTCTAATTTCAGCGCAAAATACATGAACTTGAAGCCCTAAACAGAGCTAATCTAAGCAGAGTAACCAAACGGAGCCTAATCTGGGCCCAAAAAGATCTGCAACAAAGAAAAAAGAAAAGTTACCGCTGGGGATTGGCCGGTTTTCCGTTAGACACCATTGTTGCAGAGTATTCCTTGGTGATGATGAGTGTGGTCTACTTCTTAAACCGCGCGCTTGCTACCGATTGTGCACACAGTTGTAGACGGATTTGTAAATAAATTTATTTTTTGAAAAAATGGGATATTGCACAAGTTTTTGAGGATCATCAATGGAACCTGGCATGCCTTTCGACCAGTTCTGGGGGTTTGAGTGTATGTACAAGCACTATTCCAACTTCACGAGAATATATATTTTTTTGTGCTTTTTCATGGCCTATATGATAAAATAAAATATTCTTGTAACCACTTGTTTTGTTGAATTTTTGATGTAGTTTTTAAATATGTATGTTTTATTTTTTATTTCTATACCAATATTTAAATAAAATAGATTGAAAAAACTTGAGATTTTTCTTCGTTTTGCGAACCGAGAAAATCATTATAGGACGGAGAGAGTATATGGTACATCAGGACATACACGTAGGAGTACTCATTTCGAAATAAAGTAGTACTCATTCTCGCATAAGCATAATAGTTCATTTGAAAAATGTGGTACTCATTCTAAAATAACGCAGTACTCATTCAGAAATAACGTCGTATTCATTTTCACAAATTTATTCAATATTCATTTATGTATAACATAACATTCATTCTAAAACACATTAGTACTCATTCCCATGTAACCTAGTACCCAATCTTAAACAACCTACCATTCATATCATATACTACTTCATATACTGAGTAATACTGAATAAACTGGAAATGGCGAAGAAAAGATCCAGAGCAACTGGAATCACGAAGAAAAAATCGGGAGCAACTGGAATCGCGATCAGATCTTCGCATATCCAAGCAGCTGTCGCTGATCCTTCAATTGCCGATCGGACTTCCAAACAATCTCCATCTTCATCGTGAATCGCCGATTGGACCTTCGCGCAGCCTAGTAATTGCCGATCGATCGCATAGCCTGCTTCTCCTTCATGGTCGGCCGTTCTTGCAGTGGCGTTTGCCCTAATTAGTTGCCGGATGTACGGTTCTTCCCGTACATCCGGATGTACGGTATAATTTGCGTATTCTTTGGGATTTGATATTGACTTCAAATTAAATAAAAATGATACTCCCTCCGTCCCAAAAAGTTTGTTACGTTTAGAAAAAACTTCGTCCCGTAAAGTCTGTTACATTTCTATTAAAAACCACTTTTATCCCTTACTTTTTCATACCCTACCTATCACATCATACCTTTTTCCTAATAATCTACCCATCACATCCTACTTTACCCATCACATCAAGGGTATTTTTGGAAAGTCAATACCAAAATATCCCTCCCTTAATTTCCCAAAAAGTTAAACCGTCACATTCTATTTGGGACGGAGGGAGTATTAGATAATGATGCAAAAATAATTTTATTAGATTTGTTATATTAAATATTTTTAAAATATATTTTATCTAATTAATATACAATATATATTTTATTTAATTATAGGTCAAAGATTGAAAATAGTTTACCGAAAAAAGTTAAAACTAGACAAATACTCATGGACAGAGGTAGTAGTATCATTCTGAGTCTGGGAGGGAAGTAATTTGATTTATCCCCTCCCCGAAAAGCGGTGTTTGGATGTCTCCAGGCTCCTCATGCTCGAGATTCCTTGACGGTCGTCCTAATTCAAGGAGTGGGTGAATGCATGTCAATGGAGTACTGAGCAATTCTTAAGTGCTGGTTATTGGTCCCTCTATTTCCGGTTGATAAGTCATTCCCATTTTCTTTTCTTTTATAATCAGATAAAAAATGTTTTCCATATAATTTTCTTTTTTTTTCTTTTTTATTTTTTTGAACTAAACATAGTGTTAGCCAAAAGCTTTGGACGGGAATAGAAAAAATTATCCATAATAATCTCACTGTTACTCAATATTTTAAAAATAATATTCCGTATCACACTTCACCATAATGCATAATAATCCCACATTTAGTAAAATGTGTAACTTTTTGGTTGTTATTTTTTGTTTTAGAAGTAAGAATAATCTTAAAAAAAGAGATGATGGGGGAGAAATTAATTAAAAATATCTAAAATAAAATTTCCAAAAACGGAACTAATTTAACATTTTATATTGTTGCGTAAAACATGTCATTCCTGTTAATCTACCATTAACAGCTTCACAATAACCTCAATTTCACATATTTCAATAAGATAATTATGTATCAGAGTGAAATAAGTGATTATTTTTGAAAGAATGATAATTTTTCCACAAAATATGGTGTTTGTACGGAGTATTTTATAAGGAGTAGTATCTTTATTATTCCCACACCGGATGTTCGTAAATACCGAAGGTGAATAAAGCTCCGCACACGAAGAAACAATATGTGTGAGTTAAAACTGAAAAGCATGAATAGTAATTTATTTAGGACAAACATTTGAGAGACTATTAGTCATACAACAAATATAATTGATATTCATAGTATGATAATATTCTCTCAAATGATTGTCCTAAATAAATTAATTATTTATTTTTTTTCTCGTAAATAAATCACATAATTCTTTAAAAAAAATATTTTGGGATTTTAATATTTCATACAATTTATTTTAATGACAGAAATTATTGAGGATTTAGATTGTAACCACACGTGTAAACTTCAGCAAATTTATTTATTATAATAACTTCATCGAATTCATTCAAACAACAACAATAAGAATTCAGTTGGATCTCATGATTGGGGTCTGGAGAGGGTGCACATACATTGCCTCTACTCAAGAGTACAAGTGCTGTTTTCAAAGATCCCCGCTCAAACATCATAGATTAAAGAAAAGTCTCCCTAAATAGTACAGAGTAGTAAAAAGAAATCTAACACCTAAAATAAGAGTATTGTTTAGTTTTTTGTTTACGTAGGAATGAGCCAAATGATATGAGTTAATTTTTGCGTATTTTACCTCCATCACCCACTGTCTCTGCTATGTCCCCCACCACACTGTCACTCTCTGCCACACTATCACCTCTACCGCTACACTGCCTTCATTATCCATAACAGATCCATTTGGATAAGAGTTACATCAAATCATGAAAATGAACATTTTGGCCAAATTTCACAATATTTTGTTACAGTGTCATCTCACATCTGAATTTTAATAGTAAAATAATCAGTATATAAGCTTTTGAGTTGAACTAACTAATAGATTGGATTCAATCTTTTAATGTGCTTCAACTCAAGTATCTTACGGCCCACTACAACGATCCATATCTCATCCTTAATTCTATCATGGTATTAGAGCATGTTTTGGCCCACCTCGTTTGTCAAGGTGCCCGTCTAGACGTTCATTCCTAGCGGCCCGTTAGTCTTTAGCCTAGTTGTCCATATGGAGTATGTACCCAACGGTAGGGGAGAGCATCGGTTTTGTTCGGTCGATTTCGGCCCAAAACCGAAATAACCGAAAATAAAAATGACTCACATTAACCGACCAAACCGAACCGAAGTTTTTTTATAACCGAACAAACCGAACCGAGATAAACCAATTTGGTTCGGTCGGTTTTCAAATAACCGACCCACCGGAGATGAATATCCCATTGGAATCTTCCCTGAGCTTATAGGGCTTTCTGTTCCCGTTGGAAACTGGAACAGGCGAGGATCCAAATGGATCGAGATGTCCTTGGTACGGATACCATCCGAATCTGTAAGGTTTAGGGTTGTCAATGGACTGAGAGGCATGTTCCGCCAGCAGATTGGTACAACGGAGTATCGGCGGAGAAAGCGGAGTAGGTTCCATAGCCTCCGTCATCAAAGGGAATCCTTGTCGGCGTCTGATCTCCGTCCATTCTAAAATTCTTAAAGGCGTAAAGCTTTGAATCCTTTGATGTCGTATTGCCGCTGATTGAATCGGAATAGCCGATTAGGGATAAAAGAAGTAAACGGATGGACTGAATTGGGATTAAATGCATTCAATAGTGATGGAAATGAATTTTGTTATGCGAAATGTAACTACAGGGAAATGATTGATGGACTGAATTGGGATTATTTTCTCTCCTTTTACCTCAAGAAAGTTGGTTATCATTTCCAACAACTGCCCACCCCTCTGGAAGTCGGAGATTGAGTATTATGCTATGTTGTCGAAAGTGGGTGTTCACCACTATAGTGGAAGTAAGATTTTGTGAATCTTCACTTCAAGATTTCCATTCCAAGATTCTGATTACAACTCTTGTTTGATGGCTACGGGCTCTTAATTCTCCTACAAAGTTGTGCATGGAAGCATTACTTGCCATCAACAAGTTTAATACTTGTTCATGTTTTCTCTCCGAAATAAATTGATTGATCCATTTTTTATCCAGGCAACAATGATTTGGGAACTGCATGTGGAAAATTCCAGAGTGTGTTGCATGAGCATTATTGACCCTGGTGAGTTTCTGTTTTCTAATGGCCAAAATTGAGCACTTAGAAATACCTCTTGCTTCTGTGTAAATTTCTTAGGGTTTTTTGTTTTTATAACGATCACATAACCTCATGACGAGTCTTGTTCACTAGTTGTTTAGATCTATTACTTTCTCTGTTTACTTGTTTGACAAATTTGATATTTGATTCAAATCGTTCTTTAACCCTTTGTTTGGATGGGAAGAGAGAACGAGAGGATAGGAAATAGGAGGAAAGAAAATGATAGTGAAATAAAATGATAGGGAAAGAGAATGGAGAGAAAATGAACGAAAAAAGGGTGCTTGAACTGAGAAAAGTTTTTATGTCGGATTAATGGTTGAACTTTATTTTCTTTGCAAACCAAAAAAAGAGAATTTCTAGAATAGTGTGTTTTCTCGTGTTAACACGAGGTCTAAATTTTTCTCATCCATCCTTAAGAGTGAGCAAGGGGAAGTTGGGATAATTTCAAGGTCCCATTTAAAATTTTTTTGTACAAATGAAAGGAGGACCCTGTCACCTCCAATGGAATGTACCGTTTTTTATCTTATTAATCTTCCCCACGTGAGGATAGAATCATATGATGTAATTACTCAATGTTTTTTTCTATGTAATGTATGTTTCTAACCATGCTTTGTTTTCAGGTGATTCCTACATTCTCAAGAGTAGGACTGTGCATCAGTCTAAACCCGGACCGGACCGGGACCGAATAAGAGCAAAGTAGTGGACCGTAGACCGGACTGACAAAGTGTAAGACCGGACCGGGACCAGACCGAATAAAAATGGACCGGTCCGAATAAGGACCGAATAAGGGGATATGCTCCAGTACTGCAATGGACGACACGACTGGACGGAGTGGACGAGTGCTGCGATTGGACGAGGGGACGGAGTGCACTCGTCTACAACTGGACGACTGCGTACCTGCGGAACCGGTGGACGACTGGTCGGAGTCTGCGATTGGACTGCAAGTGTAGAAGTAGTGGAGAACCCCCAATCCTGTGGATTTGCTACTTGGAATCTGGAATACTGGACTGGAGTCACTGGACTAAGGGTAATGGGTATTGTCATTATTGTGTATGGCAACTTAAGCCTTAAAGCCTATATACTATATATAAATAACTTAACTAAAAAAAAGCCCATATAAATTATATAACCGGTCCACCGGTCGGTCCACCGGTCTCACCGGGTTTGATCCGGACCGGACCGGAACCCGGATAAAGGAAATTGATGGACTGGAGACCAGACCGAATTAGGACCGGTCCGGACCGGTTCGGTCTGGTTTTCGCCGGTCTTCGGGTCGGTCCGGGTTTGGACCGAATAATGCACGACCCTACTCAAGAGCATGCCGGGTGACCAGTAATTTTATTAAGATCGTGCTTTCCGGTCATTGCCCCCCCCCCTCTAAACTGTGTCATTTTAATTTTAATCCTGGTTCTTCGGTGCTAGTGGTTGACATATACCATCACCCCATCGAGATTCTTGCTGTGTTTTGATGTTTGGTTAATGAATTTTGTTTTTGAGATGAAATGAACTGTGCCTTTCCCTTAAGTTCTTGAGTGTTTTGTACTTCATGAATTACTTTAATTACGTACCTTTTTTATATATTAGTAATATGTGTCATAAACATGACTTTTATGAACTCTTTTCCCTTAAGTTGATTTATATATACACTCTTTTTGGCCAACTGATCCAAACAATCCCCCAAATATGTGACTTATACTTTCTAATGCCTGTTTCGGTTTACAATGTTTGATTGAAATTATTTTCAAATCATTTTGTATGACAAATGTTATATAGTAAAAAAATAAAAATTACATATTAAAATATTGCATCAAAAGATTTACAAAACTAGTGGTGACAATAATATTTTATTTTATCAAATTGCTAATGGAAATTGAGAAAGAAAGTGAATGAAGTTTGACTCCGTGAATAATAAACATGCATTATACTCCCTCCGTCCCAAATTATAATGCTTGTTTATTGTTCACAGGGTCAAACTTCATTCACTTTCTTTCTCTATTTTCGTTAGCAATTTGATAAAATAAAATATTATTGTCACTACTAGTTTTGTACATCTTTTGATGTAGTTTTTTAATATGTAATTTTTATTTTTTAATTCTATACCATTTGTCATATAAAATGGTTTGAAAATAATTTCAGTCAAACATCGTAAATCGAAACAGGCGTTATAAAATGGGACGGAGGTAGTAATTTAAGATGGAGGGAGTAGAAAATGTATTTTTGGTTGTGATGGTTTCATTTGTGCCAAAGATTATAATGACCGTCCATAAATCATTTACCTATTTTAGTTTTAATTTCTCCCTAAGGGTTTGTTTGGAAAAAAGAAAGTAGACTTTTCGTAGATGATTTTTGGAAAATGAATTATTTTCCGGAAATCATTTTACTTCTCTGATGTTTGGATGAAAGGTTGAAAATTATGTATTCGTTTGGTTTGCAATTGAAAATAAAGATTGAAAAATGTGAAAATCAAATTTGAATCAAAGTTCCCAATCTAAAATTCCACATAAATTTTTAATTCGAATATGAAAGCGGACCAAATTTCCCAAATCTCAAAGCTGGAGTAAGAGTTCACTTCTTTAATAATAACTCCCAAAGAAAATCCAATCTCAAGAAAAAGATGGTTTCCACCGCCCTAACTCCCCCCTGCCCGCCCCGACCTGAATGCACTCTCACCCCCTTCAATTGTATTCGACAAGTTAATTTTGATTTTGGGTTCTGGAGGGTCCGACTCTGTTTCTTCTCAAAATGATATTGGTCGGACAATAGTTGGACAAATTTGTCTATTCACTATTAGGGAAGAAGAGACTGAGAAACGAAGGTAAGAAAAGGAGATCAAAATATTAGAAACACGCCTTGATACGTTAGTCGACTTCAAACATATGTTTTTTAATAAAAGAAAAAAGTAATCAAAGTCAAATATAATTTGTCTTAGTTTTTATATTAATGTGTTTTTTTATTAAATGTTCTTTTTATTGAATTTAATTTTTTTAATTTAATGAATTATTGACATTCAATTTAATTAAAACGAAGTTTTATTAAACTTAATTTTAGAAGATGTGTATTAAAAATGTAAAAAATAAAGATTTAAAATAATGTTTAAAGTTCGAAAGGTTCAAAACCATTTCTAGCAAAACTATGAAGTATACTAAGAGTGACACAAGTTTTGGAGTTGCATTTCAAGGAGGGGGCTTAATATTATGAGTGTCCTTATGCGGGCTTCCAACTAAAAGCCCCAAAAAGATACCCATTAAATTTTTTCCTCTTAAAAAACCCTAACCTTTGCATCGAATCGTGGTCCTCCGTCTTCCGAGCAGGCACAACAATGGTGGCGGCGAAAAAGACGGTAAGCATCTATCTCTTTGTTCGTCGTCGTTCATATCATATCAGATTCTGTTGGAAAAATGGCTGATTTGCTTTTCGGTTCCGCGTAATGATTTCGCAGAAGAAGACTCATGAGAGCATCAACAACAGGTTGGCTCTGGTCATGAAGAGTGGCAAATTCACCTTGGGGTACAAGACTGTTCTCAAATCCCTCAGAAACTCCAAAGGTTTTTTTCATATCTCTTTTAATTTTGTTTGGAATTTCTTATGTTGATTTACTTGGATCTGAATTAGTCCCCAATATATTACTCAGATTCGCATTGTTTGCTGCATTTGACATTCTGCGCGATTATTTTTTAGACTCGAAGAATGTTTCACTAGCAAAGTTGTAACCTTTGTTTTAATTTTAGTAATTTTCAAATTTCTAACTATTGGAAAACTTGAATACTACTCTCAAATGATGAAAAAGAGCTTCTGTAAAGTTGGTTATAATTTCGAACTATTGGAAAACTTGAATACTACTCTCAAACTTGATGGGCAGAATTGCGATTGTTTTCCCTCTTTTTTGCCACAGGAAAGTTGGTTATAATTTCCAACAACTGCCCACCCCTCTGGAAGTCGGAGATTGAGTATTATGCTATGTTGTCGAAAGTGGGTGTTCACCACTATAGTGGAAGTAAGATTTCGTGAATCTTCACTTCAAGATTTCCATTCCAAGATTCTGATTACAACTCTTGTTTGATGGCTACGGGCTCTTAATTCTCCGACAAAGTTGTGCATGGAACCATGTACTTGCCATCAACAAGTTAATTTCTTGTACATGTTTTCTCCCCGAAATAAATTGATTGATCCATTTTTTTCTCCAGGCAATAATGATTTGGGAACTGCATGTGGGAAATTCCACAGAGTGTGTTGCATGAGCATTATTGATCCTGGTGAGTTTCTGTTTTCTGATAGCCAGAATTAGGCAATTAGAAATACCTCTGCTGCTGCGTAAATTTCATAGAGGATACATGTTTTGTTAACGATCACTTAACCTCATGATGAGTCTTTTTCACTGTTTGTTGATTTTTGGTACTCCCTCTGTTCATTTGTTGCTTGACAGGTTATGATGCTTGAATCAAATTGTTCCTTAGCACAATGTTTGGTTCAAGGAATTTGAGAGGGAAAGAAAAAGAAAAACGAGATGGAAAATATTTTTCTTGTTTGGTTAGAGAGGAAAAGAAAAAAAAGGAGAAAAAGGAAAAGAAAATGAGAAGTCAAAATGCATTAATAGGAAAGGAAAATTAAATTCCTCCCATTTTGGTGAGGAAAATGAGGGAAAATCACCTTCTTTTCTTTTCTTACCAAATTCCTTGAACCAAACAACGTGTAAATGTGAGACCTAAATTTTTCTCATCTCCCCTAAGAGGTGTGAAAAAGGGGGAAGTTAGGAAAATTTCAAGGTCCCATTTAAAATTGTTTTGTACAAATGAATGGAGGACCCTATCACCTCTAATCCAATGCACCCATTGCTTATCTTTTTAATTTTCCCTACGTGAGGATAGAGTCATATGATGTAATGTATGTTTCTAACCATGGTTTCTTTTCAGGTGATTCCGACATCCTTAAGAGCATGCCGGGCGACCAGTAATTTTGTTAAGATCGTGCTTTCTGGTCATTGTTGTTTTTCCCCTCTAAATTCTGTCATTTTAATTTTAATTGTGGTTCTTCAATGCTGGTTGGTTGACATGTACCACCACCCCATCCAGATTCTGGTTGTGTTTTGATGTTTGGTTGATGAATTTTGTTTCTTGGATGAAATGATGAACTGTGCCTTTCCTTTAATTACTTATCTTTATTATATATGAGTAGTATTATGTGTCATAAACATGACTTTTATGAACTCTTTTCATCATCCAAAAGCTTGCCCTTGCTCTACTTGGCCAGTTTTATTCTCGTGCTCTTGTGTTATAAATGTATTTTTGGCTGTGATGTTTTCATTTGTGTGTCGATTTAATGTGTTGAATTCAAATATTTACTTCAATTTAAACGCAAATGGCGTGATTTTTGATAAAACCTTTTAAATAGAGTACTACGACGATTGAAACTCATACCCAATATTTATAGAGAAATTTACCTAAATAGGACTAAAACATAATAACTTTTTCAATATAGGACTATATGTTTTTATTTTCCAATGTAGGACCTTTGGTCATTATGAAGTAGTCATTATTCAAGTAAATGTCCATCATTACGGGACATTATTCCTCCCACTAGGTCATTATTAAGTCTTATTTAGGAAATAAAAAAGTTTAAGTCTTATATTAGAAAAGTCATTATGTTTTAGTCTTATTTAATGCAAATTTCACATATTTATACCAGCATCACTCTGAGCTAGTTACGAGCTAACCAGGATAAATTCATCAATACTAGCCTTAATATCCTCTGCTAAAACCCTTAAGTCGAGGCATGAGACGTACAAAATGTATGAATTGTCAAAAATTCATTATAAAATTATTAATTATGATTAGTTCGGACTCCGGTCGAAACGACTAACAAAACTAATCCTAGATCTCCACGCTTGCTATCTAAGTTCATATCTGTAGTATGTGCTATAGAAGTGGTAAGCCGTGTCTAATCAACTCTTTCCAATGCTTTCTAGGTCTATCTTTAATATATATTTTTTATATAATTAATTTTGATCTATTAATTACGGAGTATGTTTTAGGCTTTCGTGCAAATTATTTATATGATTTTCTCTGTAAAAAATAAATGAAATAAGTACCTTTTCAAAAAGAAATTGAAATATCTTTTTCATTTTTAATACTCCGTACAAAGTATTAAAAAATGGGACATTTTCTTTTTCAGGAGTTTTTCAGGAGTTTGCGTCGTTTGTGAATTACATTCGCTTTCTACTACAACCATAGTCCTGTTATAAAGGACCAATTATGGAATTTACTCTAAATTTTTCCACGGTTTATTCGTGACTCGAGCATTATTCGTGACTCTTTGGTGTACCCCAAATGTACATCACCCCTTTTTTCACCACCCATTTTTATTTTATTTTTATTTTTTTAATTTCTTGCCTTTTTTTGTGGACAAGGAGGAGGTGAGGGACAAATGGGGTACACATTTGGTGTACCCTCTCATTTTTCTTCTAGTTAATGAATGTTAAGTAATGGATAAGTACTGAGTAGCATTAATTATTGAATAAGCAATGTTAAAGGTACACCAAAGGTGTACCCCATTTGTCCCCCACCACTCATTTTTACCCCATTTTTATTTATTTAATTTTTTAAAAATATTTTGTCCATTTTTGTGGTAATGGGGGGTAGGGGACAAATGGAGTACACCAGGTGTACCCCTAGCATTTTTCTTATTGAATTGGAAAAGTAAATTGGAGGGGGACTTTCGCTTTGCTCTTTTCATTCAGAGCACTGGCAATGGTAATAACGCCCGGGGGCGTGAAGGGGCGTTTAACGCCCTGGAGGCGTTAAACACCGCCCCCGGCGGCGTTAAAGGGGCGTCATCGCCTGCCCGTCATTCGTTTGACGCGGCTCGGCCCTTCGTCATTCCCCCCAACGGCTCTCCCAACGGCTTTTTTAGCCGTTCCCCCCCAAATTAAAAAAAAATCAAAATTTAAAAAAAGAACCTATAAATTCCCCTAAAAATGCACTGACGGCGGATTTGGTCGAGCATATCTTTAGTCGTTCGAATAATTAGTGATTTATTTGTACTGTTGTTTTTTTATGTAATTTTTTTTAGGAATGTAATTTTTTTTAATGTTTTTTTTATGAATGTAAGATTTTTTTATAATGAATTTAATTTTTTTAATGCACTAGTGTCATTGCGATTAATTAAAATAATAAATTAATTTAAATTTATTAATTTAAATTTAGAAGATGTATATTTAAAAATGTAAAAAATGAAGATTTGAAGCCCCAGTTTGAAGCGGAGCTTCAAAACGATTTTAAGTGAATTTTTGGTGTAACATAAAATAAAGCTTACTTGGCAAAGTTTGAATCCTGGGCTTCATGAGATCTCAGAGCTACCTGCAATTCGTCTTCAACCTATCTTCTTCTAGCTCTCACATCTCAATCAAATCAGCGAAATAAAGGATTCGAATAAACAAATATTAAATCATAGAAATGGAGCGCGGTGGAGGATTCACCGCCGAAGATCTGTCGACCATCGGCGGCATCGCGACGGTGTCGTTGCTGCATTCCTTCATTCCGACGCATTGGCTACCCTTCTCCATCGTGGGACGCGCCCAGAAATGGACTCTTTCCCGTACTCTCATCGTCAGTCAGTATTCCTCTCCCCGCTCCTATTGCGCATTTCATTCAATTTTGCATTTCTTTCTGTACTTGAGATCTGTTTCGAGTTGCTTGCTGTGATGTGGAGTGGAAAATGTGCGACTTACTTTTTTTCCTTTGTGTTGCTAAATTTTGAGTTTATTTGAATAGTGAAGATGAGGTTTAGACTGTTCATTTGTGAGTGAAAGATGATATGTTGCCCAAATTAGGGGAGATTTGGGGTTTTGGTTGGAGCAATGGTAGGTTCACAAATAGAATGATCACAAATTTCACAAACTTATTATTTATGATTTAAATTCTCATTTTAAAATTATTTTAGACTATTTAATACGGAGTATTTTTTATTGAAGTTCACAAATAATAAATTTGTGAAGCCTGCGACCAGGGTTTGTGAACCAAGCGTTTCTCTATTGATTGGGTACCCCAATTACCAAATACTAATTCTGTTGGATTTTATTTATTTTAAGTGTGAGAAAGAAAAGAAAATGTGATGAGTGTGGTCGTGAAAAGAAAAGAGATGTGCAATGTTTGTGGTGGTGAAGAGAAGAAAAAGAGAGAAAGGGTCTCTTTGAGAGAGGTCCAAGAGGATGTAGGAGAGTTGTAGTGAGGTGAGAATTTTTAGGATGTTGAGAAAATTCTCAGAGTATCAACAATATCAATTGTTGTATACTTGTGGTATTTTTTTCACGAGCTTAGAGGGATTTCCATGTAAAAATTATGTTCTCTATTTTTTGCACTTTGTTTTTCCTCCCATATCGTGTCTATTGTATTTTGGTGATATTCTCAACATCTTTTTGGGGTTAGTTGCCCAGGTTCTGGAAGTGTATTTTTGGTCTTGATTTTTTGCTAGTTATGGGCATATTTACAGTATTTTGCTTTCAAATTTGGTTTTTTGGGTGCTAGACAACATTCAGCTGTCTTTCTTTCATTCTTCTGTTAATCAAATGTGTTAATTCACCATTTTCACTTACATGTATATGTGGGTATGTGGGTGTGTGACCTCAGGTTTTAAGGGATCGATCAAATGTTTTATGAGTGAATTTAGGTGTTTGGCGCTCCTCTGCAATGCAAAAAAAAATGGATTACGAGTATATTTTTTAGAAGGGATGGGTATGGAATGTTATTTTATTAAACAACTGGGTTATTTGCGAATAAAGCTCATATTTTATTTTTCTTTATTACGGAGTATAAAGTATGAACAAAGCTCATTTCAAAATGAGAGCTTGTTTGACCTACTTTGTGCAGAGTATTTACTGATCACAATTTAAGTGAAAACCTTAAAGTAAGCTCTATCAACCACAACTTACCATTTTTAGCTTATTGAGAATATATCATGATGTACAAGGAAATGAGTTGGCTGGGGCTCAGTTTCTCTAGGATCAATAGGGTAACTCTCTAAACTTGGATTATAAAAAAAGAAGAAGAAGAATAGGGAATCTTCCAATCTTATAGTTATGGTTCTAAAGGTGGGAGGCATGTCAAGAGGGACAATGATGCTTACAGTCACTTTCCTTCCTAAGCATTAAAATTCTACGTTTACCACTTCCAAAATCTTGATCAGTCGTGAAATAGTTTTGCTTCCTAAGCATTAAAACTCTACTTTGCAAAATAGATTTATTAGTATCTTATGAATTGTCGGGGCTCTCTTGGAAACAACCTCTTTAATTCATAGTAGGGGTAAAGTTTGCGTACATATACCTTACCCACACCCTACTTTTGCGGGATTCTATGGGATTTGTTGTTGTTCTATCTGCTCAATATTTCTTTGTTATTATTCGTTGTAATGAGATGCAAACTTTGTCTCTCCTACAGCTGCACTTGGTGCGGTTTTGCATGTTTTATCAACATCACTTCTAGGAGTAACCGCAATCACCATATCAAACACAATTGCTGGAGAGGAAACTGTGCATAAACTTGCTTCTTTGTTGCTCATAGTTCTTGGTGGAAGTTATGCAATCTTTTTTTTAACTGGAAAGGGGGGAGGTCACAGCCATTCACACAACCAACCCATGGAAAAAATGGCTGTTGCTGGGCTTGTTCTTGTGCCCGCTTTGTCTCCCTGCGCGACCACTCTGCCAGTTTTTCTTGCTGTTGGAAATTCATCTACCATGTTGGTGCTTGCCATTATTGTCCTTCTACTCAGGTATGCCTTCCCTACCTACCCTTTCTTGCCTGAAAGGCTGAATCTATTTTTTCTTTTGTCAAATACACCAGAAATGGCCCTGAACATTCACCTAAAACCCGTTTGACCATGTGCTTTTGAGATGTTCTATTTAACCCCTTACTAACTAAAATAACTCATCAATGGCCCTGAACTTTCAAAAAGGTCTTGATCGACTTTTGACATGTGGCATGTGAAGACTGAAGACCCTTCAAATCCTAACACAGTTATACTTTGGACATGTTTTTCAAATTCAAAGTCATAATTGAACTGTTTTAGTGACCTTTAGGGGGGGGGGGGTTGAACAGTTTGTTATACGGATTTCAAGAATACCAATATGAACACGAAAAACACGACAACAAATTTACGCAGTTCACCAATATTGTATTGGCTACGTCCACGGGAAGAGGGGGAGTAGTTTTATTATGGAGAGGCAAGAACAGAATACAGTTTAGGGTTTGTGATAGCACATATATATATAGTGCTAGGCTACACCCTAACAAGCTTGGGCCCAAAATACAGAGTTGACAGATAATTAATAGCCCAATACATCAAGGCATTACAACACGGTTAAACCTGGCGTTTGAGAAGTTCAGGGTCATTTTTGGGTATTTGGCCATTTTTTGTGTGGTTTATTTACGAAACATGAAAATTTGAAAATTATCACTACCATATATGCTCACTTGGACATATAACCCGAGAACTTCTGAAGCTAGTGAGGCTATTTTGTTGTCCAGCACAATAACAGTGATGACCTCGCTAGTTGCTCTCTCGTTTTACGGTGCGAGTCAGCTCAAGTTTCACTGGGTGGAACGCTACGACAAGCTCCTCGTAGGTTCAGTTCTATGTTTGGTTGGGATTTTAACTCTCCTCTTTCACGATCACGACCACAGTGTAGAAGCGGCCTCTGTTGCAGACAACCTGCACAGGAAATTAATTGTTTTATAGTTTTGCTTGCTAGTTCTATGAGTTGTTTCCAGTGCTTCTCATCCAAAAGAAATGGTAAGTTCAAATTTAAAATTTCTGGCTATTTGTTCAACTCTGCTAGGGGGGGTACCCTACCCTCACCCTCACCCTCACCCTTTTGTTTGTTCTTTTACTATGTCATACACTAAAGGACACAAAAACCAATTAGAGCACTCCCAAAGCCCCAAACCAGATACACCCACCCACCCACTCACTCCTAGAGCTTTGGGGACCAAGTTATAAACTGCGGGATTGCACTCGCTGCATCTTCTATAGCGTATGTGCACTTCTAATCGCAGTGGGTTCAATACGAGTTGAATCTCGCAAACAATTGTCATCACAACAGGCTATGAAAGATCATTGTGTTGAAGGTTTCTTTGAAGTACAAATAGTGTGTATTTTTTTTTACAAGGGCCACAACTTGGCTATAAATGATGTCAAAAGTTAAGATATGAAAGCATAGTTGGGATCATATACATTAGTTTAATCATATTCATATTTAGTTATTGTGAAACAAACTCTTCAACACATTTCCATTTTCACCCTCCAGTTATCATTCTTAATGGGCAATATACTCCATATGTAGTTCTTGGGAAAAGCTATAGCTATTGCAACCCTATATTTGACACCACCTTTCATATCATAGTGTCACACACACACACACCAGACACATAGTTAATTATTGTCTTTGTGTGTTTGTGTGACACTACTATATGAATATCAAATGTGGTGTCAAATGTGAGGTTTTCCTAGCTTTTTTACTTGTTTTTTTCAATAAAAGACACTCTTTCATGGTTTTAGTTTGGGTTGAAATGATTGAAATTATCTTCAATTTAATTTTATGCCTAATACAGTGTATAAAAGTTCCAATCTTTTCTGTTACACACTTTGTATGATTTAGATATATATACTCTTTATCAGAATTGACAAAGTCTTTAATTGACTTTAGGTTTATTATGGATTTTTATATGAGCTAGATAACATTTGCTTACTATAGAGATAAGCATTTTTTTTATTTTTTTTCCATGAAAAAAAAATTGTGGGTACCTCCGTGATAGAACTTCTTTTCAAAATTATCTTTTGGTTTTGTTTTATTATGTTTGATTGAAACTCAAATCAATCTTCATTTATTTACAAGTGCAAAGAGAAAAAAAATTAAAAAATATATCAAAAATTTTACAAAATGAAATGTAAAATTATTGTTTTATTTTATCAAGTGATTTAAAAAAATAAGTATTTAAAATAAGATATTCCGTTTTATGTTATCTTGTAAATAATAATGGAGAAAATAAAATTTGATAATTTTTTAGGGCAAATTGCATGGGTACCTCCTGTGTTTAGAAGAGGAGGATCAAAAGCTTCTCGATTTAAAAGAATTATTTGTAAAACCCCTATATTTTTCAAGAGTGCTTCTATGGTGCACTTTAGGTGCATATTGTTTTTTGTGCAAATCTCACATAATTTTTTATTATTTAATTTTTAATTAAAATAAATGTTCATCGAGATAGTTAAATTTGCTTATTTGCCTTACATGTAGATCCATGGTGAACTTTAGATTTACCATTGAATTTGTCATTTTTCAAATAGTGCCCACACGCTCCCATAACTTATTTTCAAACTAAAAATGACGTGTATGTCATTCTTTCTCTACCTAAACCTAATAAAGTTTCACTCTTTTATTTTCACTTTTAATTTCCTTGGCTATACAAATAAATAAAATGACATATACACTCTCCATCTCAAACAAAAAACTTCATTTATATATTCGTAAAACTAAAATTATTCTGTTTTTTTTTTAAAAAAAATATTTGAATTTTTTTAATTTGAGATGTAGAGCATCCATGTTATTTTAATTATGTTTATAAAAAAGGAAAATTGAAAATAAAAAAGTGAAACTTCATGATAGGAAGAAAGAAGGCATAAATGTCATTTTAAGTATAAAACTAGATTAGAGGTATGTGTGCATCATTTAAAAATCATAGGACTTTTACAAATAACGTTAGAACGAAGACACAAATGTCATTTTTAACCTTTTTTTATGCCAAACATTTCTTTGGACCCGAATATTTAGGACGTCAATTCAATTTCCATATTTACCCTTCTAGAAAACAATCATTTCCATTGAAAAAATGGCACTGGCGTAGCGATGCCGCTGTTATGTGTGAAAACTGAAAAGAGCTCCGTAATGACCAAACTTTATGTTTAGCTTCTTTTTTTCTTTTTCTTTATCTTTATTTGTCATTTTTTTATATTTTTCTTCTAAAGACTTAAGACTTAGGATTATGGAATCATCTTCCTTCTGATTCTCTACTATTTACATATCAATTTTTTTAATAGAGTTAAAAACCTCTTGCTAAGTACTTTTAAATATTTTGTTGAAGTTTAAAAATGCTACTCTCTCCCGTCTTAAAAATCTTTCCGATTTTTTTAAATCAAACAGTGATAATCTTTACCCATAAATTTAATATAATCATTATAAATAAATAAATAATATAAAAATTTGATATATTAAAACTACTCTGTATATCCTATTAAGATGAATCCGATTATTTCAAATTGTATTATCATTAAATATACTTTTATCAAATTTATGGTTATAGAATATCACTGTTTGAGCCAAAAATCTCAAAACAAGAAAAATTTTTAGGTCCAGAGAAAGTAAAATTTATTTATATTGGAGTGAGAAAATATTGTTAAAATTACTGTTTGGGAGGAGTTGTTAATGTGTGTCCAACTATTTCATTTAAATAGATTACTCAAGTAGTCAAGTGTAACTTTTTTAATTAAATACTCCGTACTAAATGGATCAATACAATTAAAAAAAAATTATAAAAAAATAGATCCTTTTTGCTATGAATTGGAAGTTAGTATAGGCTTCAAAAAAATTGAAGTTGATGTACACAAATATGCATTAATTAATTATTGATAAAAAAATAATGCATTAATTAAAATTTATGCTCGAGTTTTATATTGATAGCTCATTTGTGGTTATTTTTTTATTTCCATTATACCCACAAATTAGTGATCGCTCAGTCTCAACTATATATGGATTGTTTATGAAGGCTTCTTGGGAATAGTTTTAGAGTTTTGAAAAGGCTATTCACGAACAACGTTTAGCAGTAGTACTTTCAAAGTAATTCGCATTGTTGATTTTTCATCCAAAACATTAATCCTAATCTTGAACCTTATGCCCAAACATGCCCGAAGTATAATGAAAAATCAAAAGATTATATTATTTTACAAACTTATCATTTACGAGTATATTTTAAACTCTCATTTGGAAATTATTTTAGATCACTTTATCTTTTTATTAAAGTTGACAAATACTATACTAAATTTGTGAAATTTGTCGCAATTTTGGGTGTGAATCAACCATTTCACTCCTAATTTTCCCACAGAATCGGATTCTAGTGGGACCCGCCGCCGCGTCTTCATTCTCTCAGCAATTCTTTAACAGTTTCACTTTTGATTTTTGTGAAGAAGAAACGAGAGAACTTTGAATTTCTCTTTGCTTCTTTACCTTTTTATTTTTAAATTCATATATTGTTCTGCATGGACTATTACGGAGTATACTTTATTGTCACCGATTCCTCTCTTAACTTCTTCTTCTTCTTCTTCTTCTTACCCATCTCCCAATATACACAGATGTATAGATACAAGTAAAACCCAAAACTATAGAGGATCTGTATATAGAGAGCTAAAGTTTCCACTTTTCTTGACCCGATCAGGTATTGCTACTAAAACCCACTGTAATTTCATCTTTTCATGCTCAATGATTCGCTCTGGCGTGTTGGTTTGCCTAAAGTTTGCATCTTGTGTTGGATTTGAGTCCAATTCTTTTGGTTTCTTATGTTGATAAATTGTGTTTTAAAAGGAAAAGATCGGATTTTGGACTATTTACTTTCTTTAATTTGGGCAATTTCTTTGCTTGTGTTATTGCTCACTTTCTGTTCGATCATTTGCCTCCTGGGTGAAAATATAATGGATATAGTGGGTGTTGTCTTTCATATGATCTTTTTAGTTTAAAGAGGTACAGTTGGTGTGGGTGTTCATAATAATTCTGTTGTTACCTGAGTTCATAGGCTTAGTTGTTTTAAAGAATGGTTTTATGGTTTTCTATCTCTTGGTACTTTTTTCTGCTCTTTCTGATCATGTTGATCAGACTTTGTAATCCCCTTCTGGGGATTTAGTTCTGAACTGATCTCCTAAATATATGGGTAGTCTTACTCGGTCTGGGCTACTGTATGATTGCTTCTGTGTTTGAGTCGGGGTCTCTTAGAAATAAATAAGAGCAATGCTAGGGGTACACCAAAGTCCAAAAGTGTACCCCATTTGTCCCCACCCCCTTCTCCACCACCCATTTTTATCATCTTTTTATTTATTTAATTTTTTTAAAAATACTTGCCCATTTATGTGGTGGAGGAGGGGGTGGGGGACAAATGGGGTACACCTTTGGTGTACCCCTAGCATTTTTCAATAAATAACCTCTCCACTTTTGAATAAGGGTAAGGTTTGGGTAAATATCTCCTTACTGTACTATTGTGGGATTTTACCAGGTTTGTTGTTGTTATGCTTCTTTGGTAAGAATTTTTAGGTCCATTAGCCCATTTTGGCATGAATTTCCATAATCTCCGATGGAGCCAAAGATTCACTGTTTTTTTGGATTTGGGTATGATGAGATAAAGCAAAAAGACTCTTTAAACTGTCTGCGCTTATTTTCAATAGTGAAATAGTCAATGCACCTTTCGACGGTCATTATGGGTCATCCGGAAACAGCCGCTCTATGTTTTAAACATAGGGGTCATAACTCGTACATCCGACCCCCCTTACCCCACAATGGGCGGGAGCCTTTGAGGCACTGGGATAATGTTGTTGTTGTAGGCCATTTTTGGCATGCAAAACACAGCCTAATTGTCCTAAAGAGTGATTTTTTTCATTCACTTTGATGCATATTGCTGCTATACATGCAAGTAGTCGGATGACCAAACTTTGTATACACGGGAACATAAAAGTTAGGAAATGGGCGCGGCAAGGATACAAAACTGTTCTTTTAAGGTTTTCTTTGTGACACATGAAAGTGGTTAGAGGCATGGAATGAAATCTCAAAAGTATTGTAATTACCTTTTCTTCACTAAATGGAGGGAAATAGTAATATTACCGTTGTATTTCAATGGTAACAAACAAAATGTGTGGAGTATATATTCCCACACCAAATACCTAGACCAAAACAGACTAATATATTAGAAAATGACTCCTCCCATTGCTAATTGGTTTTGGGTTGATATATCACATTTCTACATGGTATCAAAATGTAGGCTCAGGAGCTCGAAAAGAAGCCCAATTCTATTTGAGCAAGTGACAACTTGAGGCAAAAAGACCCAAGTTGCACTTGAGGTATGTTGAGGATATAGTCCCACATTGAACAATCATGCCAAAAAGACTAATATATAAGAGTATAGGTCACCCTTCCTATCGCCAATTGGTTTTGGGTTTGGAATATCATAATTCTACAAAATGGAGTGTTGCCTTTTG